TCTACTACAACAAGCATTACAATGAGTATTTGTTGACATCACAAAAGTGGCAACAAGGGTTTGTTGAGTCACAAAAATAAGCCATAAAAAACAAATTTGTCAATTGAGACATTTTATTAGGTGAAATAAGAGACTAACAACAATAACTAATAATAAAATAGAACAATTCTAACAATAGACTGTAATAAAAGTGAAGAGAAATAGAAGATTTATTCTTAGATTAGATCATAATAAGTACAATAAGAGATTAACAACAATAACTAATCATAAAATAGAATAATTATAACAATATATAAAATAAAATGTAGTAAAAGTTATATTTGTGCTAAATATGTTTTTATTAGAGACTTTAACAATCTCAGTATAAGATTTTTTTTCTTTCTTTATGAAACTGAGACCTTTGAACTTTTCATTTAAAAGGAAACACTGTACACTTTCTCAATTGGCATATACAAGTGACCAACATCACGTATCTCAAATTTTGGGACAGTTATAAAGTAGGTACCTCCCCCCAAAAAAATACAGAAAAAGAAAAGAATTTTTTTTAAATTTAAAATCTTTCTTTAAGCTTTTATTTTAGTTTTAATTTCAATCTAATAGATTAAATTTAATATTTGCAATGTAATTCTCTTTATTATAAAAAATATTCCAAAAATAAAATATACTTTTCTGAAACTTTATTTGAGGAATATTAGCTGATTTAAAGTGTAATTAATCTGATTTGAAAAAATTTACTTTAAGTTTAAAATATAGCAGAAATGCATTTTTTAACCTGATAGTAGCTGTGTTTTTAATCTGACAGTAGTTTTGACAGTCTAATGTTGTTCTATGAAGATTTTATCTCTAAAACATAATATAAGAAAATGATGTGAACACCATTTTTAAGTAATTTTTTAAGTACTCAATAATCTTTAAAATTTAGAAAAATATTCTCTATAATTCATAATCTAATGATTTATTAAATTTTTACAGCTCTTGACTTTAAATTTACTATAGTCATCACTCTTATTTTCTGATAATGTTGTGTATGGTCACCTGCACTTACAAAAATCGGCATGTTGATACATTATTATTCATTGAAAAATTTATTTTCCTTAAGACAATAGTATTCTTAATATATCTTATTTATAAAAGCAATTACAAGCCTTTCTAATTAAATAATTTTATATTTTTATTGCAATTTTTATTTTACGATTCAGAGCAGATTTTTGGCAAACATTCTTTCTGTTTGACAAAAACAAATTGATTTAAATTCTCCAAGGAGTCCTACTTTTAACTAATATAAATATGAAGCGGCTGAAATTTTAATTTCTTGAAATTTCATAGAATTAAATAAGTGGCAGTAACAGATGTAAAAAAAAAATAATTTAATTCATTTGTGAATAAGTCCTGAAAATTTAATTAAAATCCAACAAATATTTGATTTTTGCAAGAATTTCCAAAACAATATATTTTTTACCACAAAAAAGATACTAAATTTCCCATACTAATCTTTGGCCAACAGCTGACACAAGAAAAACAAGATTTTTAACCAAAATGTTGAATATGCTAGAAAGGATTTAAAAATTTAATAAAATAATCAAAAATATTTTGGTCTTTCCTCTTAATAATAACATAAATATTTTGATGCTTAAATTTTATTTTTATCAAGCTTGAGGCCTTTTCATGATGCTATGCTGTTCTTTAGAAAATCCTTGAAGATACCTAGATTTTATGAATCCTTTCTTTCAGAAGTCAATTGCTGGTTACAGTTGAGACCAAAAATAAGTGGCAACCAATGTACATTATACTTAAATACAGATGTCTTACCTTTTAGATCTTTGTAAATTAGAGATAAACTGTTGTATCCTTAAAGAAGGTTACAAACAGACAAAGTTGGTACTTAAGTTGAAGGAACAGCAACACGGGTGTAGATAAAAGAAAGAGAGGTTTATTGTAAAAGTGAATACACTACTGAAAGACGGGAGTCAACTAACACTTCCTGAAACTAGTAAGACTGATAGACAGACAAACTCTGGTATGTTCTGTGCACATAACGTATATTACTGACATAGTCAGTCCACAATAGGTAATAGGGAGGGTGGAACATTCCATTACAACACAAACCATGCTGGAAACTTAGACGAGCATCCTTATCCTGATTGTTTTATTATGGCATTTTGATTAATGAATTCTTTTGCTTTCTTTCTAGTGTCTGGAATTTTGTTGGCTGACTTTATAATTTGATTGTCTATTTAATATCAGAATCAGTTTTTTTTTAAATTTTAAAGATAATTATTTGATTTTGTCCCCACTCCAATTAAGAACTAAATTTATAAGTCCCCTCCCCGATCAAATACTAAATATATAAGTTTTTCACCCCCAATCAAATGGTAAATATATGTTATTCTCCCCCCACCGTCAAGTACTAAATATTCTTCTCCCCAAATCACTTTCTAAATGTTTCCCCCAATCAAGTACTAAATATATATTGTTTTCCCCACCAATCAAATACTAAATATGTTTCCCTCTAGTCAAGTACTAAATATAAGCCCCCCCCCTCCCCAATCAAGTATGAAATATATAAGTTTTACCCCCCCAATCAAGTACTAAAAATATAAGTTTTATAGTACAAAGATTATAATGGATAGTTTTAATGCTAGCCTTCCAAAGTTGAATCCATTTTCTGTTTGAATTTTTGGGGTGAGGAATTATCATTATTGATATATTTAACTCCAGACTAATGTCCTCATCTTTATTATCACTTTTCATAGTCCCCTTCAGCCTTCTTCAGGAGTCTGTTAATCTGGGTATCCTTTATTTAAGATTGTTCTAGTTACCCAGTTCATATCTAGGAATATCTTGTCTTGTTCTTTTTTTAGCATTGCTTAGTTATTGTTCACCCTATTTGAATTGAGACTACCAAGCCCAGAGATTGAACTCATAATTACTATGTCACCAAATTTACAAACCATGTACTTTTATCCATGAAGAAACAAGATGACTAGTAATTGAACGGTACTAAAAACAGAACAAAACAAGATATGGACATTGGAACGAGAACAACCTACCCCTGTAGATTAAATCAAGTGGCAAACTTTGACCTTTGTGCTTGCAAAAAAAAATGGAGTGTTAAAAGGATGTTTTTTTTTATTATTGACACTACTATTATTTTAACTATCATCACTCCTCGGAAATGTTTATTGTTTTAAAAAGTAATGATTAGAATTGTAATAAAACCTAAACATATGAAAGTGAATTTATACATTTTCTTTTTGTTCTTGAGAATTGAAAACAAAAATATTAAACACTTTATTTATTACAGGGGTTTTCAAACTTTTTGACTTGCGGACCCCTTTATATTTCAGGCTTTACCTTAGGGACCCCCTTATAAACGCTTATGAAATTTATACATAAATATTTGCTGAATATAACATATAATTTTCCATTAATGCAAACGCCTAACAGCCAATGAGAAAGCCAGAAATCGCAAAATAGATCCAAAATTCAAATCCTTTGGTTCCTTCATTGCATGAATAGAATCCATTATCTTTATCAATTTAAGATACAAATTATATTTGTATATCAAATCTATGAAATAGTTTATTGAATCAATTTATTTCATGATCGGCCTATAAGTTACTTATAAGCGTTTATAAGTTGCGCATCACCCATAAAAAAGTTTTTGCTGTCCACGGACCCCCTATCTTGTCCTTGCGAATGCCCTGTGGTCCACAGACCACAGTTTGAAAACCCCTGATTTATTAGATTGTTTATTTTCACTATTTAATGATATATTTTATTGGAATGGTTGGCAAAACATTGGCTAATTACCAATTGATTCAAACTTTATAAAATAGTAAATAATAAGGATTTCTTTATAGTTGGTTCATATATCTTAAGAATTTAGTAAATGTTTATAAACTTCTGAATAAAAAATTTTTTTACTTTTATTTCTTTATAAATTGGTAAATGATAAATATTGCATTGTATTAGTTTTTAGAATGTTGTAAATACATTATGAAAGGGACAAAGTCTGACAATTATTTTAAAACGTTTTTATGTTTATACATTCTTTTTTATAGATACAAATATTTAAGTAAATGCTCTGTTTATAATAAACAGTATTAACAACATTTACCGGCCTGAATGTCCGAGAAATTGGCAAAGAAAATATGCGTCCTCCGACTTTGTCCATTTCATAATGTGTGACGTCATTTGTTTACATTTGGATATGCATTGAGTAGATATGAATGTACATCAGAAAATCATGGAAAATTGTAGTTTAAAAACAGTAAAATCGACCTTGCTAACTGAACGCTCCTCTGTGGCTCAATCGGTTAAAGGCACGTCAGGCTATATGATGGTTCCATATAGGATACAGGTTCAATTCCTGTTGGAGGATGCATATTTTCTATAACAATTTCTTGGACATTCAGGCCGGTAAATGTTGTTAATACTATTTATTATAAACGGAGCATTTACTTAAATATTTGTATCTATAAAAAAGAATGTATAAACATAAAAATGTCATAAAATGTTGTAAATATAAAATTATTTTTGCAAATAAACAATTTAATAGTGTTTAATTTTTTGTTGTAAATTCTCAAGAACAAAAAATGTATAAATTCACTTTCATCATATGTTTCCAATTTACAATTCTAATCATTGCTTTTTAAAACAGTAAACATTACCGAGGAGTGAAGGTAGTTAAAATAATAGTCAGGAAAATGGAAAAACTGTACTTTTGGTGTTTTTTTTTTTTTTTTTTTTTTGCATGAAGTTCTAAGTTTGCCAATAAAGTATTCAATTCCAAATTCCCCGAAGATTACCAAAATTGATAGATAGCTGAAGACGACAGGATGGGACAACAGCTGAAATGTTGTGATAATAAGATGAAGACCTTAATCCAGGGTCCAGCCATCATACTTCTGTACAGTGCAATATAGAATACAATAGAACCTTGCAGTTCTTTTAAAGAAATCCTTATTAATTTGAAAATGGTAATGTCTTGTTTCCAGTGCCACAGTAACCAACTTACAGCAGAAGTTAGAAGGTGTGCAGACCACCAATGCTTTGATGAAGGAAGACTTGGCCATTGCAAAGAACACGATTCTGACTCTACAGGAGGAGAATGCCACAGTGAAGAAGGAAAAGGACATTCTTTTGAATGATCATAAACGACAATTAGAGGTAAGAGGAGAAATCAGATGCCATCTTTTCTCTCCCTTTTCTTATCACTCTCTCCTTTTGACACTCTCTCCCTCCCTTTCTTTCCCTATCACTTTATCATTTCTCTCTCTCCCCCTCCACTGGTTTCTTTTCTTTCTCTCTCTCCCCCTTCCTCTAGTTTCTTTTCTCTCTCTCTCTCTCTCACTCCCCCCTCCTATGGTTTCTTTTCTTTCTCTCTTTCTTCCTTTGGTTTCTTTTTTTTCTCTCTCTCTCTCTATCCCCTCCTCCAGTTTCATTTATCTGTCCCTCTCCCCTCCTCTCGTTTCTTCTCTCTCTCTCTCTCTCTCTCTCTCTCTCTCTGGTTTATTTTTTCTATCTCTCTCCTCTTCTGTTTTCTCTTTCTCCCCTCCTATGGTTTATTTTTTCCTCTTTCCCTCTCCTCTTCTCTTGTTTCTTTTTCTCTCTCGTGTCCTCTCTCATTTCTTTCCTGTCTATTTTATTGCATATATATTTATTTTCTTAATAACCTATATATTGTGTATATTATATAGCATAAGGTTTTTTTTTTTATATGTTATATAGATGATTAACTTAGTCTGGAATAAGGCCACGATTGTGAAGCACCATAAATGGATTGTATCCGTTATAATATTAATGATGTTTGCGTTTAACTTGTTAGATAATATTTCATCTCAAAACTCCCAATAATATTTTGGGCATTGTCAACCACGTTACATCTATTATAGGCAAAAATTATTTAATTCCCCTCCCAACCTTTTCTTGCTGCTTGTGCTATGTCAGACCAAAGTGTTTTTATATTCTATAAGAAAAGATCCTCTAAGTTAAAATATGGATAGCCATTGCTAAAGTGACTCACAACATATGATCGAAACAGTTTTTTGGACAAAACCATTTCTAGTTGTTAGGCCCCACTATATTTACAGTATATTATTATTTGTCTATATTTCTGAGATGAGACATTGTTACTAATTACACTATTTACATTGTTCGGATTGTTGTCATATTCATGACATTTCGGCTGTTGTACACTCTAGCCTTCTTTAGGTGATTGGAATTTCTAACTGTTGTAGCATACCTACAGACAATAATGGGTATGTCCCCATTCACATAAATACAGTAGTAAATACTGTATGTTGGTCTGCAGTTGGAGATTCATTGTGGAATTCACTTGACTCACTTCTAACAGTTGACTACTTCTTCTATGTGTCACTGGTGATTCTTATATGTGTTGTTCGTGTCCTAATTATTACCAACCTTCATTTGGCTATTCTATTCAGTAAACTTCCCTAGGTTACCACACTAACTGAACCCTTTATTTTGTCTACCGGGGTAGATTGTTCTAGTTCCACATGCCACATTACTAAAAGGGAAATAACTGAAACTGATACTGAGATATCCTGAAGAGGCATGGCATGTGGAACTAGACCAACCTACCCTAGTGGACAAAATAAAGGGTTCATTTCAAAATTCCAATGACCCGAAGAAGGTCGAAGCTTACAATGGCTGAAATATTGTGAATATGACAACAAAGATGAAGACAACAGTCTGAATAATGTAAATATTATTATTCATTTCTAATTATAACCACAGATGTCCAAACTTGTGAACAATTGGTTTGCCCATCATGAGAAAAATTATAATTGAAAAAAATAGATCAAATTTGTTCTCTCCCTACCCTCTGTGTATGACTTGCAAAGAGGAAGGTATTTTGTTTTTACACCCAGGTGTTTTACTCATAATAAGGTGTCAGTCACTTAAGTGCCATACATGATACGTGCTTAGGCAATCATGGGTCTTTCAATACATGACTGACGAGGCAGAATATTTTTCCTGCAGTAGACTGGTTGCCAAACAAGGTTAAAGAAGCCAGTCTATCCTGCTATTCAACCTATAGCTAGGGTGAAAAGAGATGGATTCATACCCTTTAAGGTGGAGTTCTCTATAATTAGGATTTAATCTCCCTTGAAGAAGTTTTTTTCTTCTATCCAGTTCAGCACAAATGCTGACCCCACATAGTACTGTAATTGATTTTTTGTATACTTTAAATCAGTGCATTTTATGAGTATCTTAAATTAATACATCTGATTACAATGCAACATTTTTGCTTCTTCAAGGTTATGTACAGACATACAAAATCAAATTTTTCATTGTATATAGATTGTAGTGTTTTTGAAGGAAAACTTTCAAAATCTGTATAGAATAAGATTTTGTAAAACAAATTAAACAAGCTGTAGAGTGAGTAGCCATGGTCAAATGCAAAATAAGTTATAGAACTGTTCAACAAACAGATTTGACACATGGCACAGTGGATAAAGGCGTTAGTTAGATCCAGTGACAGGACCCAAATAGTGTGAGTTCAATACCTGGTTAAGGCAGTGGAGAACTTGGAGAGGGGAATTAACAGGAGATAACTGATAACTGACATCCATTAAACATGGCATGTGGAACTAGAACAGTCTACCCCAGTGAGTGAAATAAAGGGTTCATTTTGACATTCCAACCACCTGAAAAAGGTCGGAGCGTACAACGGCCGAAACGTTGTAATAAATATGGCGACAAGGATGAGGACAATAGTCTGAATAATGTAAATAGGGTAGATTTGACAAAGTTTGCAATAAGCCATAACAAGAAAAAGAAAAAAATGGAGCAAAAAATAATAGAAAGCAAACAATATACGCAAAGCAAATTAACAATAATAAGGTAAAAAGTTCATGAACCAAGAATTTAGGTTGACACAAATGGAAGTTCAGACTAGCGAATGTAGCATTTTGACTTCAAGACAAGACAGACTAGGACTGAATCAGAAGAAACCAAGAACTGACCTATTTTATTGGCTAGGAAAAAATCCCAGCATGCATTTGTGTGCTTCTGCCTATAAAAAAGGGGAGAGAAAAGTGTTTTGCTGTTATTCCCTTGCCAATTAAAACCAACACTAGTGGACACATTATTAAAACAGATTCTATTAATTAATCAGTTTCAGACTAAATAAAATCCCTTTAAATTAAAAATTATTAAAATATGATATCCCTACTGAGTCAATAAGAACTTAAAATTTAATTAACTCATAATTTATTGACTTATAATTTATAGTTTTAAAATTAAAAGTATGATTTGAGTGGACAGCAACTAAACTAGCTCCCCGCCCCACCATGCCCTGGTCTGGTGAGGAAGGTAAGTGGAACCCCAGCCATACAAAAACAAGAGCTGTTAAAAGGCTGATGAACAAATGTCATCCACCCCAACTAGCCTTACCAACCTGCAATTGACCAACAATAATTTGAAATTTAAAGAGAAAAATTAAAATTACACAACATTTAAAACATATATCTATTATGTACAAATATACAAAACCAAATTTTTCATTGTATATAGATTGTGGTGTTTGGTGATTTTAAAAATCTGTATAGATGAAGATTTTGTAAAACAAACAAACGCAAATCATAGCGAACACATTACCAAAACATTCTATTAATTAATCAGTTTCAAATGAAAACCTCTTTTTATTAAAAAATATTAATGAGCTGAGTGGATACCATCTTGAAGTAAAAATTTAATCCACTTGTAACTTATGACGATAGATAAGATTTACACAGCAGTTAAAATGTATATCAAATTATTAATCTGCAATGTCTCAGTTTTCAAGTATGTATAGTTATTAAGTTATTAGAAATCTTATAGGATATGCAGGTGGTGTAATGGATAGTGGCTGCGAATTTGGAGAGCAGAGTTCAAATTCCAATCAAGTTGGTTGCATTCACTTACATGCAAATACTTTTGGGAAATAGTTGAATATACTTCTTCCCCCAGCTATGGGTTAAATAGTAAGACTTGTATCTAGAAAAATCACTGTTATCTCCAAAAAACTGTTAATGCAATATTCACTCACAAAAAATTAATATAAAAATTTTGAATTTACCCTTTATCTGTGTTCTTTTCTTTTCATTTTTTTTTTTTTATTGTGAACAAGTCGAATATTTTTTACAACTTTCACATTCTCAACCTTGTATAACAGATTATATGGTGTCGGAGAGACCTTCCAAAAGTAAAAAATAGTCAGTTACTACTCCAACATATTTATCACGATAAAAATAAAATCAAATCTTCTACACATGTTACCAACACTAATATACTACTTTTCTATTTAGTCACCATTTCAATTTATGCATATGTTGTATCAGTGTACAAATGCAAAACTACTTTGAAGAATGGTGTTGGGGGGTGTCATGAAGAGATTGGAGCCATTCTTGCACCACTTCAGCAGCATCATCATCTGCATATCACCTCCTCTTTGAGCGACCCAAAACAAATGCTAGTCTTGACTTGGTGCCTTCAGATTATGTAGCATGTACAGTAAAAAATTTCAACCATATTAAAGAAAAAAAAATGCTTAGTCTGCTTGTTGCAGATTGCACATCAACATTAGATATAATGCTTATGTTGAGTTTATGAACCTACTCTTTCATGCTGGCTTGAGGTTTGTTCGAAGAGAGCATTTGAAGATTTTCTTACAGTAGGTTTCCAATTCTTTCTGCAGTAGACTGGTTGCCAACCAAGGCTATAGAAGCCAGTCTGTCCTGCATAGCTGGAAGGAGAAGAGATGAATTCATACCCTTTCCCAAGAGCATTAGCACATAAGTGAATGTAACAAACTCGACTGGAATTTGAATTCAGCTCCCAACTTCTCGTTCCAAGCCGATATTTATTACATCACAATATACATCCCATATTAAACATGTCTTAATTGCTGCTATTCCCAGGTCCACTTTGACCCACAGTGGTAGCATCTGTAAGGGTCCCAGCTATGGGTAAATAGTAAACATCCCCCAAAAAAAGACAACATTAGGAAAGTATAAAAATACATTTTTATAGTAAACATACCAATAATATACTTTTATTATTTGTTCCAATTGCTGGCATGGGAACAGATTTTGACATTAAGGGAGAGTGTCTTTACATGCATTTGTTGCAGTTGAGACTGTCACTTGTGTGTGGGTCTGTACAGCCATAACAGATGCTGCACTGCCACCAGCTGCTGAGGCATAACTCTTTGGGCACAGATCTAAGGTTTTTCGAGACCAAAGGATGCCACACACATTTTTATGAAAAAAAATTACCAACAATACATTTTTATAGTAAACTGACAATTGATACATTTTATAGTAAAATTGGACACATGGCATACATTGTCAGAAATTGGACACATGGCATACATTGTCAGAAATTGGACACATGGCATACATTGTCAGAAAAATAATTTTATAAAAAATCTACAAACAATACATTTTTATCATAAAATGACAATGCAACACCAAAAAAATATAAAAATATATATTTATTGTAAAATTACCAGCAATACATTTTTTTTTAAACTATGAACAATATCTGTCTATATTTCTGAGATGAGGTATTATGTACATTATTTACATTATTTGGACTATTGTCTTCATTTTTGTCACCATATTTATTACGTTTTGGCCTTTCAGTATCTGTCTATATTTCTGAAATGAGGTATTATGTACATTATTTACATTATTTGGACTATTGTCCTCATCTTTGTCGCCATATTTATTACAACATTTTGGCCATTGTATGCTCCGGCCTTCTTCAGGTGGTTGAAATGTCGAACTGAACCCTTTATTTCACTTACTGAGGTAGACAAGGACACATGGCACAGTGGATAAAGGTGTTAGTTAGATCCAGTGACATGACCCAAAGAGTGTGAGTTCAATACCCGGTTAAGGCAGTGGAGAACTTGGAGAGGGGAATTAACAGGAGATAACTGACAACTGACATCCATTAAATACATGGCATGTGGAACTAAAACAGTCTAACCCAGTGAGCGAAATAAAGGGTTCAGTTCAACATTCCAACCACCTGAAGAAGACTGGAGCATACAATGGCTGAAACGCTGTGATAAATATGGTGACAAAGATGAGAACAATAGTCCGAATAATGTAAATAGTGTACGAACAATATGTTTTATCATCTACAAACTATATATCTAAAAGACATATTTACCTTAAAAGTATAAAATGATGTGCAAAATATTTGTAGTTGAAGCCATAAAATTGCATACAAAACATTTATATATTTTGACATTAAATAACCCATAAAGGTTGATATGCTACTAGACAATATCAACCAACCAATGGAAGACAATGGAGTTTCTCTTTTTCTCAGGAGGGAACCATGGATAAGGAGGCATTATCACAGGATCCAATGAGATGATGCTTTACAATTTATATTAAATGTAAAGAAGGGAAAACTTATATGCAAAGTTGACGTATCTGGTAGGCTAATGTGTCTCTAGATGCCATAGACTACCAATATTTGTATTTAGGTTAACTCCGTAATACTGGAATAAATGTGAATCAGGGTGGAGATATTATATCATCAAATATAGTTTATCTCAAACGAACTCATTTCTTCATAGTTGTAATACAATGCGATTGATAGTAATTTGTGCTCAGTAAAATGTGGCCTTATGTCAAATTAAACATCTATATATATTATTTTCTCTTTTTTGTTTTATTTCTCTTTCTTCTTTTCTCTTATTTCTCTTTTCTCTCTTCTCTCTTATTTCTCTTTTCTTTTCTCTCTTTTTCTTTTCTCTCTTTTTTCTCTTCTCTCTTTTTTCTCTTCTCTCTTTTTTCTCTTCTCTCTTTTTTCTCTTCTCTCTTTTTTCTTTTCTCTCTTTTTTCTCTTCTCTCTTTTTTCTTTTCTCTCTTTTTTCTTTTCTCTTCTCTCTTCTCTTATTTCTCTTTTCTCTCTTTTTTCTCTTCTCTCTTTTTTCTTTTCTCTCTTTTTTCTTTTCTCTCTTTTTTCTTTTCTCTCTTTTTTCTTTTCTCTCTTTTTTTCTTTTCTCTCATTTCTCTTTTCTCTCTTCTCTCTTATTTCTCTTTTTCTTTTCTCTCTTTTTTCTTTTCTCTCTTTTTTCTTTTCTCTCTTTTTTCTTTTCTCTCTTTTTTCTTTTCTCTCTTTTTTCTCTTCTCTCTTTTTTCTTTTCTCTCTTTTTTCTTTTCTCTCTTTTTTCTCTTCTCTCTTTTTTCTCTTCTCTCTTTTTTCTCTTCTCTCTTTTTTCTTTTCTCTCTTTTTTTCTTTTCTCTCTTTTTTCTTTTCTCTCATTTCTCTTTTCTCTCTTCTCTCTTATTTCTCTTTTTCTTTTCTCTCTTTTTTCTTTTCTCTCTTTTTTCTTTTCTCTTCTCTCTTCTCTTATTTCTCTTTTCTCTCTTTTTTCTCTTCTCTCTTTTTTCTCTTCTCTCTTTTTTCTCTTCTCTCTTTTTTCTTTTCTCTCTTTTTTCTTTTCTCTCATTTCTCTTTTCTCTCTTCTCTCTTATTTCTCTTTTTCTTTTCTCTCTTTTTTCTTTTCTCTCTTTTTTCTTTTCTCTCCTTTTTCTTTTCTCTTTTTTTTTCTCTTTCTGCTTATTTCTCTCCTTTTTCTCTTTTTTCTCTCCTTTTTCTCTTTTTTCTCTCCTTTTTCTCTTTTTTCTCTTCTCTTATTGCTAATTGATGCCTTTTTCTTTGTTTTATATTTTTTCTTTTTATTCCATCTTATTCTGTCTTTATACTTGATATCTCTCTCTTTTGGAAACATTTATTTTTCTAATCATTTTTTTAATTAACTTTGATAATATTATCAAAATTGCCCAACATTTTCATATGCGATCCTCTTTGAAGAGAATAAGCTCTGTGAAGTTAAACAATAAAAAAAAAAACCTGCATCTTAACACTTGTCTCATTTGATTGGTTGGTTTTAGTAGTCATGTGATTGCAATGGCCAATCAGTGAAAACTTATTTTATGATTCACTTTCTGTTTTAATACTTTATCTACCATGATGGTTACTAGCCTTTCACTGTCATTTACAGCTCACAAAACAAGATATTGATACTGAGAGAGAGACATATCAAACATCCCGTGCGGGCTTGGACAGTATGTTTGCCGAGGCTAAGAAACGATTGGAAGATGAAACTCAAACTAGACTAGTGAGTATTTCTCTCCATCTTTCATGAATAAAGTTTACAGTTGTGAGGTTCTAAGTTCTTGAAGAACGTAGTCGATTGTTGCTTATCCTGAACAAATAAATTTAAGGTTTATTTTAAATGTAATCTTTCAGTTTAGATTCAGAGAAAGGAATTCAAAGTTGTTGCCTGTCTTTATGTCCACCTCCCTGCCAAACAGCTTTCATGGGAATCATTCTGTATTCATATATGACTGTCTTAATGCCTTTTGTTTTTGTTTACAATAATGTTCACTTTGTAAAAGGCTCGAGAGCCACATGAGGTAGAGTGTAAAAGGTACAGTTTATGAGGATAAGACAACTGTTAACCCTAGACTTGAACAGATTAACATCACCCCAAGGATGCGTAGACAATTTTGGGCTTCATGGTAACTATCACCAACATCCCACTCAACATTACGCACATGAACAATTACTATTTTTCTGTCATAAATCTGCTACAGCTGCATTTATGTTTTTAATATTTAGTTCGGAAAAAAAACCTCCATATTTATTGACTTTGTTACCATTTGTAGTGAAATGGATGTGTTGGCAAAATGATAAAACAACACATATCTTTTGTACTTACCAATACATTTTTTTTTTCTCCCTCTGATACTTAGTTACTCTTGGTTAATGCGTGGTTTATGGCTCACACCTTTGTCTGATATGTGGATCCGCCATTCTTCTGTGAGGTCTTTGAGAGACTACGTCCTCTTTCTCTTGGATCTTGGGTAGTTTTTTAGATATCCAGCTGTCCAAAATTCTTGTTCATATGCTTGGAGGCTTATATTACATTGAAATGTATGATCACAGAAGTTAAACAACATTGAGCCTGGTCAGTGAATATATGAGTGACCAGATGCTGTAAGCTTGGATGTACAGGTGGTTCAATGCATAACAACTCAAATTTGGAGATTGGAGAGCTGTGTTTCAAATCCAGTTAACTTTGTTATATTCAAACATACACAAAGGTGTGAATCTACCTTTTCTCCTACCCAGATATGGGTTAAATAGACCTTGTATCAGTAAATCATTAAAATCTCCTCCCAAATTCTTAGAATCTAAAAATATTTTGCAGCTTTATACACCCTGCACTAGGTTGATAAGCCATAAAAAAACAAACAGATCAATCTGCTACATCTATATTTAATTTTTTTTATATTTAGATAAAAAAGATCTCCATATCTATTTTGTAGCATTTGGGTGTGCTGGCAAAATGATAACATAAGCTAAACCTTTCTTATTTAACGTATTTTATTTACTCTGGTACTTTGTCAGTTATTTTTGGTGAATGTATGGGATATGATTCGCAACTTTGTCTGACATGTGAACCTTCCATTTTGTCAGTTATTTTTGGCAAATGTGTGGGATAGAACTGTGGGAGTCTAGTTAAGACAATGATCATTATTTCCTTTACCATAATGGATCCAATTAAGATACATTATTATTAAATTTGGAGATGCATTCTTAATTTTCTTTTTCTTTTGTAGGATGTTGAACGGGAACTTGAGCTTCAGATTAGTATGAAAACTGAAATGGAGATGGCTCTCCGCTTATTAGAAAAAGATATTCATGAGAAACAGGACAATATAATCTCGATACGCAAACAACTTGAGGACATAAAGAAACTGAATCTGGAAATGTACAACAAACTTCAGGTAAGCGAGAAGTTTCCTGATCAAAAAGCTGACTCTTGTTAAGAATTTCATTGGGAATCCAACATCTTTTAGAGATTGTTGCGCAGTTGAAATGAAGTGCTGATGTTTAAGTTGAATTCGATTCATTCTGCTTGAACGATCCTAATTTTATCCTTTTGCATTTCCTAGTTATAAGATTGGAAATTTTTAAACTTATTTTATAATCTTTAATTGATTATATATGTATTAAAATATATTTTGATTGTATATGTATTAAAATATATTTTAATTGATTGAATATGTATTAAAATATATTCTAATTGATTAAATATGTATTAAAATATATTCTAATTGATTGAATATGTATTAAAATATATTTTGATTGTGTATGTATTAAGATATATTTTAATTGATTGTGTATGTATTAAGATATATTTTAATTGATTGTGTATGTATTAAGATATATTTTAATTGATTATATATGTATTAAAATATATGTTAATTGATTATATATGTATTAACATGAATGAAACATGATTAAAAAGAAAATGCAAACATACACACATTAAATGAATAATTTTAATAGTAGTTTTATATTTTAGTCTTGTATCATTCTAGAAACATACACATTTATTTATATATATATATATATATATATATATATATATATATAAGACAACAGACATTTTGTGTCAATTAATTTTACTGATCAACTTTTCCAAATTACAACAAATGATTCTTCTCAATCAAGGAAGAAATTCCATCAGAAATTGTCCAAAGTTCATTTCAGAAGAAATACCGTCTAAGCTTTCGGCTTACTTAAGTCATCATCAGGGTAGGTAAACACACATGGCAAGTGTTGTGGTACGTCACAACACATCATTTATCTCTATCTTCTTTGCACCTATGAAATTGTGACCTGTTACTCAAGCTACAAAAAGTGCTTGACGAGGTAGCATAGGAGTGCAATTTTGGTAGCAAACTGGGAAAATATGTGTTGGATTTTTTGTTCAACTGTGCCCAACACATAATCAAGAGGTTTGCAGTTTGGGATGTTAGGTGACCAGATATAAGGGGTCTGTGGTTGCAGAAATTGTCTCACAGCCATGACTGCATTCTTCTGCTTGTGCGGCATGGTGCAGAGTCCTGTTGCCAGACATAGGGTCTTCTAACAGCCCCCCCTCTTGATCCAGGGCCGTACTACCTCCTCAAGGTACTTGATGTAGGTATACATGGGAAGATGAATGGAGGCATAACATCGCCATCACTTCAAACACCATGATGCTGACAGGATATATCATCTATTTCTGAAACCTCTACACTGTTCTCAGACTGACATCCAAACTGTCTGAAATGTTCATATTAGAGCTTTCAGTGTGAATACCAAGCATTACAGGAAGGCGTTTCCAAATTTCAGGTGGAGTGAATTGCATCATAGTGGTCTTTTTTTCATAGATGGTGCCCAGCTAACCATATTATACTGTGCATTTGAAAAAATCAAAAACAAACAACACATATGTGCAAAATAAAAATATAAAATGGCGACAATTTACCTATAGCACCCTATATATGTGTGTGTATGTATGTATGTATGTATGTGTGTGTGTGTGTGTGTGTGTGTATATATATATATATATATTATTATTATTATTATTATTATTATAAATTACAATAAAAACAAAGGCAATGTAAAATGTTTTTATTGTAAAATGTAAAATAGGTAATGATACACTTTCCAAAAACTTCAGATTTACATAAGATATTCAATAAAAACACAGTTAAATTAAGCTACAGTTGCACTTGCAATTTAGAAACAATAATAAATAGACAAAATGCTAGAAATCTCAAAACTAACATGCAGCAAAATAACACTAGTAATTTATGCAACTGCAGAAATAACATTATACGCCCATTAAATGGAGCATGTAAAACAGAATCTATAATTTATAAAGCAGTAGTAACAGATATTAATGGTCAAAATAAAACTTATATATGATGTATGGAAGCTACTTTCAAACATAGATGGTACAATCATAGGTTGTGATTTAAACTAGCAAATCTTAGGTACTCTACCAAAGTAACTACCCATGTAGAATTTAAAAGAAAAAAAGCAACAGGGATCTAATTGTAAGGTGGAAAATTTTAAAAAAGGCAAAAACTTATAACAATCACAAAAATATTTGCAACCTCTGCCAATAGGAAAAATTAGCGATTATGACATTCCCGGATCCAAAGAACCTTTTAAATCAGAAATCTGAAGCCTTAAGTCCTTGCTTACACACTAGAAAATTTCTCTGAAGCACATATGAGGCTGGATAAAAAAAAAAGTAATTTAAATCTCCCCCCCCACCAATATATTTACAATACACTTGTTTTTCTTCTCTTCCTCCTCCTCCTTCTTCACATCCTCCTCCTCCTCCCTTTCTATTACACTCAATGTCAAGTATTTATTTTTGAAAATAATAATGTAGTGTTCATTAGTTTAAAAAAAAAAAAAGTATTAAGAGATCATTTGATAAAAATCACCCAAGGATACTGTAAAAGTTGAAACCAAAGTAGAGGATTCAACCTACTTTCATTACGTTGAATGGAAGAAAAATAGGGATTCAGTACAAAATTACACCACACATAGGTTTCGATTTTACAATAATAAAAATGAGTAAAAACCTTCAGCAAATTATAGATTCGGTTAAAAAAAAATGAGTCCATTCTTCACATTTTGGAATATTTTGGGCACCTCTCCCCGAGGTCTGTCAAACATCCCTAAATTTTAGGTTTGGATTCCTGTGACTTCCAGGTAATAATAATTAAAAAAAAAAAAAATTTAAACTGGGGTCGAGATTAAGGAGAACGTGGTGACTTAGGTGA